AAAAAAAAAAAAAAAAAAAAAAAAAAAATAGCAGAAAATTAAAAAGGAATTAAATGATATATAAAAGAATCTAAAGTAAGTGTTGGAGTTTTACAGTCTATTAGAGATAAGCAGAGTCACAATGCAGAAAATCAAACAATAATGTCGCAGACAAATGTGAAATAAATATATCCAAAAATAACCAGAGTAAATACAACCAAAGCAACAAGGAAAGATGTAATAGAACACATTTGACTTGAAGACTTAGAAGTGATAAAAAATAAATTCAATGTCTAGATATATCCTGGAAAGACTGTTGCAAAAGCTGTTGTTAACTACCCTTTCTTCTTTAGCAAGCCCACTTTGTAGGGTGTGGTAGTGTGCCCAACTATAAATTAGTTTTCAAGGCTCCCTTACCTCTTCTGCTGTGTGGAACACGGCTGTGCAGGCTGGCGCTGCAGTGGCCACTGGGAGGCCGTCTGAAGCATGGAAGCCTCTTACTAAAAAAGATGCTGGACTCTTGGGTCCATGTTGATCATGGGGTTGTGACACCAGCCCTGGATTCTATCTATGGATTTTTACACACAAGATATATACATTTTAATTTTATTTAAGACACTGTTAGAAATCCACTAACTGGGATTTCTGTTCAATGCGTGTGAACCCACTTTGAACTGAAATCTAAATTCAAAATATTAATGTCTGTGGAAAAAAGCTTGTAGTTCAGTAATTCTCATCTAGCCTGTTGTCTTTCATACAAAGACAACAGAAAGGCTTTCTCAGATCCCCAAGAGCTCACAAAGTATAAAACATGCATGTGCCCTGGCTGAATAGAACTGAGGTAAAGTTCTGGCAGCACCACATGCAAATGGTAGTAACACACAAATTTTTAAGCTCTTGAAGCCCTAGTTTCTTTATCTGTAAACAAAGTAAAAGTAAAATGATTTACTTCATAAAATTGTTATAAAGGTTAAGGAGGGATAATATATGGCAAGTTCTTTGTTCGCTGCTTAGTACTCTTTAAAAAAAATAATAAAATTTATTGGAAAAACCAATCTTAGCCAATCATGAGGGGAATCAAAAACAAGAAGGGGATATCCTTTTATTTGACATTATTTAGAAATGTCTCTCCAAGGCCGGGCGCGGTGGCTCAAGCCTGTAATCCCAGCACTGTGGGAGGCCGAGGCGGGTGGATCACGAGGTCAAGAGATCGAGACCATCCTGGTCAACATGGTGAAACCTCGTCTCTACTAAAAAATACAAAACATTAGCTGGGCATGGTGGCACGTGCCTGTAATCCCAGCGACTCAGGAGGCTGAGGCAGGAGAATTGCCTGAACCCAGGAGGCGGAGGTTGCGGTGAGCTGAG